GTTCGTTGAGGCGAGTGGCAGGGAAGGGCCGCGCGCGGACGAGCGGCGGTGAGTCCGGCGATGAATCGCGCGTTAGTAACCGCGGGCGGCGGGTGTGCCAGCAGCGACCGGTCGCCGCCGCCGCCGCCTTTGTGAATAACCGATCTCTAAATACATCCGTCCGCGGGCGCTCGCGGCGACCGTTCGGCCGCAATCCAGCCGCAGCCGCGTCGCCTCGCGAGCGGCCCCGCAGCCTCTGCCTCTGCCGCTGTTTATCTCCGGAATAACCGAAGGCTGAGCGCGCCTGCCGGAACGTGCGCAGCGTTGTGGATCAGAGGCTCCTAATCCCTGGGGCCGAGGGCTCCGTCGGCGTTCATATCAAGGAACTGCCAGTGGAATAGCCATGGCGATTTTTTTTTCTCGTGTGGCGACTAAATTTTCCCGTCGCCGTCGTTAATCCTGGAGCGGAGTGTAAGAAGATTATATGCGCCTCTTATGTGGGCCAAAAATTGGTTCGAGAATATAAATTTGGAATATTATGGATCAGAATGAAGTATACGGCTTAGAAATGGGATGCTCTGCTTTTCAAAATGGTCCACTCTACTGCCAAGGGATGTTTATCGTCTAGGAAATGTCTGAGGCTTGACCTACAAAATCAGAGAACATGCTGTTGACCTTTCATATTAGATCGTTCTTCACTCAGAATAACAATTTATTGCATTTTTTTTTTCAATCACCGGGAAATTTGTGGAGAAGAGATTTTTCATCAATCACTTCATAAGAGTTTGAATTCTATGAAACTATAAAGAGTTAATTTGAAGTAGAAATAATTTTCAAAAATATACGTTGATATGGTTTCATTAAAATTCAAATTGGAGTCTTTTGAAAAAAAAAGCATTTGCCTTGAATTGTACTTTATATAATTACTTGTATTTAATTGACTTTTTCTTGATAATTCAAAGTACGCGGACTCCGTGATTATTCACACTAAATGCTAAACAACGGCATAGCATTCTAAGAGCATTCCGATAGATTTCACACTGACACCCGTGATTCTACCGCCTGCGCCGGGACCGGTTACCCCAACATTCGCATCCGGTGCGTTCGAACCCCGGCGGGTTGCAGCTCCCGCGCGCAGGCGGCGGGCGCAAGCGGTCGGCTCGAGGCGCTACCCGAAATACGCGCGCTTGACGTCGCGCACGTGGCTCGCCCTAGGGCACCCGCGTTGCGCCCCGGACGTCCCGCCGGAGGTTCGGGCGAGGCGGTGCCGGGCGCGGCCCTACTACACCTCTTCCGTTGATCCCTTTTTTCTTTCTTTCACGATTCTGAAATGGTGCCTTAGCTCGGAAAACAGTCGGAGACAAGATCGTGCAGCTGTTATATTTCTGGATTGGCAATACCTTCTTTAAACAATTCATTGTGAAATATTCAATGAAAGAGCTTGTTATGTTTGAACTTAACCAGTGGCGGATCCAAGAGCGAATTTTGGGAGTGGAAATTCAAAATGTTTTCGTCGAATATGTCATATTACAATTTTTGTAAAATGTAGCAAGTTGCCCTTAGCTAATGCTACGGTACGATTTTATTCGTTTAAAAGATAATACGAAAATATTTTTGCTTGAAGGTTTTGTGACGGGTTAATATTAATAATTGCTAAACAATTTTAGGTGTGTGTGTGTGTGTGTGTGTGTGTGTGTGTGTGTGAATGGAAGGGGGGTAATTTCCCTCGTTTCCCTCCCGTGGATCTGCGCCTGCCTTAACTAAAATATATTTAGTGCATGTAAATTCCGTCTTAGTTCTCAGTATTGTGTAATGTCATTATAGTTCAATATATGAAATTTACAAGTATTATTCGCGAATATATCCATGTTAACTTGGGAAGAGCAAATAATACGTGAATATTTATAGTTATGAGATGTATGAGTCAATAAAAGTATAAACTTTAGATTAAAATACGTGTTATAGATTCAACGGTTTCAAATAATAGTGATTACTTTGTTCCAGAAATTGTAATTTCCCCCATTTCATCAGTTTTGTACAAAAATAACTTGACGCACTACTTACGGAGTTTCCGATTATACGGAGGATTCGATTTGCGGAGATTTCGATTTGTTCTTCCTTTGGTACGATGTAATCGCGGTGGTCGCGCTAGTTACACTTCGCGTGTGCCGCGTTTCCGCCGCAGTGTCCCAGGGCGGGCGCTGCTGGCGCGCGGGCACCGAGCGTTCCTGTGAATGGCGCGGGCGGGCCAACG